ACGAATGCATATGGCACACAGTATTTATTATATGTAAGATGTACCCTATGTTTTATAACTTAACTTAAATAAATTATAATAAAAAAAAAATGCTTAAACATTTGTTTCTTTTTTTTTGCATGCATTTTTAGAAAAACCAATACTTGTTTCGTTCTGTCCGTAAATTGATATTGGGTTATAACAAATTTATGTACAATACAATACAATTCATATTGACAAAAAATTTACACAGATAAGCAGAATTCGCTGACCCTTAAACTAGTTTACACAAGGGCCAGAATAAAACAATATACTAACCACAAGTTAAAATAAAACTTATTTTATTATGTTTATAGTGTGTGCAGTTATTTGTTATACCTATAGATACATACCTTATACATTATGTATATATATACGAAAAGGTCAGACAAAGATGATCGACCATTTATAATTAGACAGTAGGTACAAGTATTTTCTACAATATAATAAAGATGTGTCATTTGAGACAATAATTCTGGAAAACATTGAGTATCAAACCTCCTCACTCGCACACAACTCCTATAACTCCTTTGATATTGCAATTAATTACTTATCATCAGGTGACTCTTATGCGTCTCGTAAGAAACTCCTTTCTTATACCTCAAAAGTTTGATCTGTATCTTGGTGGAGATGGTGATGGAGTAACACTATAACGGTTATAAGCTAACTATGGTTCCATTAAGCAGGCTTAATCAGCATTAATCCATGTTTCATATTCAGTATGAAATTCAACAAAACCACGAAGCGTTTTGCCTCCACTTTTGTTATCACTAAGAAGTGGAATTGTTTACCGGAGTCTGTGTTCCCCGAAAGGTATAACCTGGGTGTCTTCAAAGCCCGACTGAATAAATTGTTTATAGGTAGCCTGCTTGATCGCTTACTACCAGGAGTGATAAGAGGCCAAACCCCAGCCTATTAAGTACTAATAATAAAAAAACAGGTTACTCTGTGGATACGGCTACTTATCTAGTATAATATCGTAGTTTCCAACTAGTCAAATTCAATACTTTTATCTATCCGTCGTGGTGGCCTGGAGGTTAAGGAGCCCGCTTCTCATGCATGAGGGTGTGGGTTCGAAACCTAGCAAGTACCAATGTGACTTTTCCGAGTTATATGTACTTTCTATGATTATTTAGACACCACTGACATACGGTGAAGGTAAACATCGTGAGGAAACCTGGACTTATAATTTGTAATTGTAAGTTTGAAATCACCAACCCGCATTGAGCAAACGTGGTGATAAATGCTCAAACCTTCTCCGTGTGAGAAGAGGCCTTTGCTCAGCAGTGGGCACTTATAGGCTGATGATGATGATGATCTAAACGTCAAAAACGATACTTTTCTATGGAATTTGTATGAAAAACTGAGTTATGACGTCATAACATTTTTCCGTCAAATAGCTTACTTATTTCTTTATAATATATAATGCTAAAAAATATCTAAAACTTAGTGTATCGATAGATCCATGAATAAAAGTATAGTTATTCTTTTAATTATTTTATTGTATTGAAACGTTGAATAAATTTATTTTATACTACCCAATTACGGGCCTATTGTTCGCAAGTACTGATGTGATCTTATTCCGAATGAAATAAACTTTCTATGTTCATATAGGCACCAACTACATAGGTGAGAAAACCTGGACTTGCCTAAGTTTGACATCACCACTCCGCGTTGAGTAAGCGCAGTGGTTAATGCTCACACCTGCTTCGTGTGAGAAGAGGCCTTTGCTTAACCGTAAATTATTGACGCTAGTTATAATATTTTTTGTAAAAAATGGTATACTCGGAAAATAATGCTTTAATTTTCTATTCTTATTCTTAAAGAAAATAAAAATACCAGTTTCTAAAACATTTTAATTGGAATGAATGTTTTTTGTAAATATTAATGAATTTATATTGTTATCAGTGACGTATCATTTTGCGTAACTGGTTTGAATAAATTGACTTAATTATTACTTGATTTGTTAATATTTTGGAAAACGAACAGGCTTTATTGAACAAAATCTAATAACGCCAGTCAACAACAATTAGAGGAATATACCTGAGTTAGTTTAATAATAATGGCTAGACATCGCCTTGACATTGATACTAGACAAACTACATATGTATAAGTTATCATGGAAAAACCTTCTTTATTCGAAGGCGGTAAGAAAGGCAAGATAAGGTCACTTAGCTAAAGGACAAACGCGTCTTACATACTTGAATAGTTTCATTTATTATCAATTTTGATTACGGATTGTAAAATAAATTATCAAGTAAAATATTACTCATTCACACAAATTCATTGTCCTTATAGTATCAAAAAGTACAATCGGTGATAATTACGCTAAACAAAATTAAATTAAATAAAAAAGATCCATCTCAAAGACTCAAACGTAATATTGTCATGTCAATAAACAGAGATTAAAAATGTAATTATTTTAATTAGCTTTGATCTAGTGTTTGCATTACTTCTCTATCTTTTTCAATATGGAACGCGAGTGCTAAAACTTTGATTTTTCAACGTTACTACATCAAGATTTTCTCATATGTCAAAGATACGTTTTCAAACACAATTATTTATTTAATTATTTTTACATATTACTTTGCCATTACAGGTGACTTAACCTAATTCGACATAAGAACCTAAAATATGTTTCTTTAAACTATTGACCATAAACTTTAACTATAATAAACTTAATACCTATAAACTTATTCAACTTTAAATACAAACTATATTTCCTTACATACTACACAGTAAGTGGTCCTTGTGATCTCGCTCAGTGTACAGTTAAATATGTCAATGACATTAACATTATAAAACACATCACACCTAGACTAGGAGCAACATTTTGTAATCACACAATTAATGTTTCCGTGCACAAACCTAGACAGGGACACGTTGTACAGCAGCCAATTGGGACCACTAGCCATGCAGACAAAACATGCTATCCTGACACCTTCAATAATGAAGAAATGAATTTAAATAAAAAAATGTGCTAACACTTTTATTACAGACTGTACTTGTATAGTAATACTGCATATTTTGCGTCACACCTGTTTGACCTTGTCCCACCTCAATACTTAAGGATATCACGATTCCGCTTATAGTAAAACAATGAAATTGATTGTTAATAAAAAAGCTACTTTAAGTCCTTGGCAGAGAGTTATATTTAAAGCCAAATATTTTGAATGGAATCTTATAAAAGAAACCGGGTTCGATAAAAAAGCGTCATTTTTATACGAAGTTTATAAGAAAAAATCTCGTCATGAGATGTTATCTGCAGTTTACACTTGTTAGTGTTGTCGTGTTAAATTTGAGCTCTTGTGAATACGTGTCTTATCCGGGTCAAATGCAAGTTTGGGTGCGAAAACAGGACCATGTGTACAGTGAAGGTTTAGACTCTGCACCTAATACTTACGGAAATTCTTGGAACCCGAATGGAAGGGCTGCAGAACTGCCAAGACGAGATGACGTAAAAGTGGAAGTGGTTATACAAAAAGTTCCCGTCACAGAGATTTTAACTCTCCGTGAAGTAGAGTCCCCAACCTTCAGAACAAGTGAGACTGGATTTGATTTGCCATTGACTGGTTATTCGGCTATTGGTGGGAACGCCTGTCCTGTAGGGTTCTTTCGAGTAGGCAATATTTGTTCTGCTGCTGATTAAAGAATGAAAAATATTTGTATTGTTTTTACTTTCTCTTATGTTTTATTAATGACGATAATAATGAGTATGGAGTTTGCAAAATATACGATGGAGGTCAAGGAAGGTGATAATGACAATATATTAATGAACTCAAACTAATTTTGGATTATTTGTGATTCCATAAATTACAGTAGCTACACAAATATCGAAACTGAAGAACAACTACTTACTATGGTTAGTACGGAGATAAAGATTTGGTACAGGCGTTAAAATATAATTGTAAAAACATAAGCTGTGTTTTATTACTCTCCTTTTTTGTTGGACGGTGACAAAACGAATGATATCACGGCTGCACCTATCTACGATCAAAACCGCAATCTTTACTAGACAGCCAACGTACCATCGTTGTAAGTCATAATTTAAATCGCACACTACCACACAACTTTATTATTCACATACACAGGAAGATGTGAATAAAAATTAATTCTACCTGCTTTTGGAAATCTCGTTTATGTGTGCGTTATGAATATCGAAATACATATAAAAGCAGTAACCCATTCAAAAAGATACAGTATTAGGAGAAACATTGAAAATGAAGATTATACTAGTGTTGTTCGTGGGTGTGGTGTTGGTAGAGGCAGCATGGTGCAGATACACACGCTACCCAAGTGGAGTGCAAGTGTGGGTGCAAAAAGTCAAAGTGTTTGAAGTTTCGGAAAGTGGAGAAATAATTAATCCGGAACCTGACAACAACGATGTTGATAATTCATCAGATATAGACGTTAGATTTGGCTCTATAGCGCCAATGAACAATATGCCAGTGTGGGTACAAAATGTACCAGCTACCAGGATTTTTACCCAACGAGTGTACCCCAGTCAATATAGAAATTGGCAGTTCCAATACTAAATCTAAAGTTTGAAAACGTATGTACTTATCCAAATTAAAACAAAATAATAAGCAATATTATTTATTTGTTTTATTTCATCACTTTTAAGCCCAGGGTTTTTATTCTAAATTGGTAGAATTCAAGGCTTATCTCATATCATTATTTATATAAAAGAGTTTTAGTTTATGAAAGGGACATTCTGGTGATTACTAAATTAAAATAAATTAGCAGAGCTATTTATCAATATATTCAAAACATGATCTCAATTTGGACAACGCTCAGTAAAAGCAATTTAATTCGCTGTTTCGCGTAGGTAAATCCAAATATAAATGTTTTATAGATAACTACATACACAAACCTTGACAACTACGTACTATGTATATTCACATAACTATATGTACCGGTTTATATGACGAACTATGATATAAGACTCGCCTCTCAGCAGACCTTAGACCTCACCAAATAAAGACTCCTATGCCGAAAACAAGTTTTTAACAAACGTTGAGGAAAAAGCTATACAAAAATTAAAAGTTTGCAAAAGATATGGTATAAAAGAAGCACTCCTCATAATATAACATCATTGTAATGATTAATATAAAATGAGATACATACCAGTATTGTTAGTAATTGTGCTAGTTTTAGAAGTGGCGTTTTCGTATCCTAGTGGTATCACAGCCGAGAATGGGGAGATAGTAGAGAAGTTTGATGATAAAGCAAAAGTTTCTAAGGAAGATACTGCAAAGCAAGCGCCATCGACAAACGATGAAGAAGGTAGCAAGGCGATGGACACAGCAGAAGTCATCACAGATGGTTCACCATTCATGTACAATAAATGTCCTGATGACAAGGTACGCTATGGTAATCTTTGTTTGGACAAGGATTAAGATAAATAATTCCTGCAATTGCTTTCATATTATGATTATATTCATGTAGCCATTGTAAAAGATTATTATTGTTGTAATGTTGTTTTCTTAAGAAGCAACGTAGTAAATGTGTGTGTTAAAGTAAATTATTTTAATTTATCAAATTACAGTTTTGCAGTTTAATTGCGTGAGAATATTACAATGTTGTTTAAAACATTAATGCAATATAATCAATAGTCATATGCTGTCTGTAATTTTATTCATTTAGATTTTTTTCCTACTTACAAATAGCCAACTGTAGTGTGAGACAGTCAAACTTTGGCATGAATGGGTCGGTTCGACTGGAGTGATACCACGACGAATTTCTACAGAACATCGGCGTGAAACAACCACAGCGAATTCGTCCTGAAGCATAGCTCTCTCACAATATTTGTCCTAGGTCAATACTCGAGATAATTTGAAAAATATAACTTGTTTCTGACGCTCAATCAACTTCGCAAATATTTGTAAATCAGCTGCTCGTGCAGTCAGTCGAGGTTGCGAATGCTACAGCAATAATAAACGCCAGCCCCGGCTCGGCGAAGGAGAGTTAATGGGATGGTTTTTAGTCAGTAAAAGTCTGACACTTCCTCTCGACCTACCCATGACGAGAGAAAGAAGTCTATGATTTTCCCTACAAAACATTTCTTTTGGTTTAAGCACTGCGCTATCTACTCCTAAATATAGATAATATAATACCGCATATGAGTAAGTATATAAGTTCGCAATGATTCCGACCCTTCTATTTGACTACTAACCATCGTGGAAAGCAGATCTTTACAATGAGGTTCGTTGCTATCATAATGGTAGTCAGTATTCTGTTCTTTAATATTATAACCTGCTACCCATCCAATGAAGAAGTCCTCGAGGGAAGCACACCAGCTCTTGAAGATGATACTTATTTTGAACCTGCGGCAGCGTTTGTAGTGAACATAAGTCCCGGGAATTTAGTAAGAATCAAAAATAATTGTGTTCCTACCGATTAAATCATTACTGTTAGGTAATGATTATTAAAGTAATAATCGAGTTTCTTACTAACCTATATGAATTAAATGTGATTTAAAATTGAACCATTGTTAGTATAGGAATAAGATGTAAATTAATCCTGGCAAATCGTTCTAGATTCATAATCATTATAACAATTGCAATTATTTACAAAATAACAATAGAATGTATACCAATTGAGATGTACTTCTTACCTATAAATAAAAACTGATGTAACTATGTTTCATACAAACTGTGACTGGAATTGGAAAGATACAATCAAGATGAAGAAGTTTTACAGTGTTATACTGATTTGTGTTGTCATCATGTCACTGTGTGTACAGTTCTGCTACCCCCAAGTCTCAGAAGAAAGAATGTATACTGTATCTTACGACGACGAAGATTTTACTCCATCAGACGCCATGATGGTAGGGGACACATGTCCAAATAATTTTGTCAAAATCGCTGACGCATGCGTTGCCGTGGATTAAAATAAAATCTATTTAAATGTAAAAGTAGTGTTATAGAGAATTATGTTTTTCTTCTGGTTTAAAGATTGTAATGCACATAAAAAAAAGAAAAATATTGGGGAGTTTGTATTTTCGAATTCTGCACCACTTAATGTGTAATTAATAAAGTGTGAACTAATAACAATTTTTTTGTTTTACTTTGTTCCTACAAATACATAATGAAACAATGAATTTATTTTTGCAAATAGGCCATAAAACGGCACTTTTTACACGTCAATTTATATGTGATAAACTAGATGAAGCCGTTATTTCCTATCTGACTACTCTGAGAAGAAATACCGAAACAAACTCAGAGATCAGTCTCTTCATTTTGTTTTAAAAAACGTTGTTTTAATAAACGTTGCCCCACATTAGGATTTTCTCCTGTGTCGTGGGTGCGTTTACAAACATACAAATTCACATGCACATATTTTCACACCCAGACCCGGAACAACACCTCTCGCGCCCGGCCTTAGTCGAGGCCATGGTGCGGAGTGAGAGGAACTGGGACGCCGTCTCCTCCTTTTGTGAAGCAGTCATGCTCGCAAGAGAGGCGGCCCGCGTGAGGGAGCAATCCTCCTCCTCACGCCCCAGCAGCCGCAACTGGCGACACTACGGGCGTCGGGGATCGAGGGACGATCTCCGGCCACCGTAAGTACGGGCCTGCGGGGCGAGTAAGGGCAGCTCGCCGCCCGACCAGAACCAGGCCCGAGCGTACGGCACGTAGCGTTCCGCGCGCGCCTCAAAGAGCCAATAGACCACCACAGACGGGGCCCTAAAGGGCTGATGTTCAGCCGGGGTTGCGGGGTAAGCGCAATGAGGTACCGCGACCTCGGCACAGAGCAGGAGACGGAACAGGGGGGTTTTTAGTCAGTAAGAGTCTGACACTCCCTCCTGCCCGGCCCTGGGCGGGAGAAGTCATTTGATGATTTTCCCCTCACAAAAAAAAAAAAGAAAAAGACCCGGAACAACAATCTGTGGATCACACAAAGAGTTGTTCCGTGCGGGAATCGAACCTGCGACACGTTGCGCGGCAGCCAGTTGCCCAGCCACCGCGCCAACCGTGCAGTCAGTCAGTTCATGTCCAGACAATGTAAAAATAACATAATGTGAGAGAGATAACATAATCATTGTTGATTCAGAAAAGGACCACCTTTTATCAACTGACCACCTTTAGCTTAATAATATCTGTTAGGATAAAACAAAACAAATGAATTACAAAACGATTACGACAGCAAACATTAGCGGGAGCCGACATCAGTAATATTGATATTGGTTTACTCCGCGCTCGCCGGCCGAGGCTAATTAATAAAGTAAGCCCTAACACGTGGACATTTCATGTTTAAGGTCAACCGGGATAAAGTTATGTTTAACATATAATATTATTGAAACCTTTGATCTAAATCGATTGATTGTAAAGCAATGGTTTTTTGACTTATGACAACGGATTTTACTTCACAATACTTTTTTTTATGTACTATGACGGTAAACGAGCCGTCATATTATCTGATGGTAAGTATTGCATGCTCCATCCACAAAACAGAGGAGTTACAAGTGCATAGCCGACCTTTTAGGGATTAGGGATTTGTAGATTTTTAGATTGGGGGAGGCGATTGGGCATCCGGTAATCTCACTCACTCGGCGAAACACAACGCTTTAGTTGTTTCACTCCGGTTTACTGCGAGGTTGTGGTATCACGCTGCTCGAGCCGTGTTGCCAACACTTTGAATATTGTTTTCCACATTTTTATAATCATGGCAATATATTTACGTTTTTGCTAAGATTATTCAGTGGACAAAATCATCAAATTCTCCAAACTCTTAGTGTGACGAAAGTCAGACTCTTACTGGCTTTGCAGAAGGCGGAGATAGCTTCGTGGAGAAAAGCTGGGCACGAGAGCTCGCCATCACCGATCGCAAACCCGATGGCATGGCGGCGTTCAGCTCACGATGGTTTGTTTGCATATTAAATAAACAATCTTCGATAAAATCTCTTGTATTTTTACGAAACGAATTAATTACATTAACACATTAATACGAACAAGGGTGAAGACTAAAACATCGTGTAGTTAGAACGAATTTTAACACTACCCAACTTCTCTATATCAAGAATCTAAAATTGCTGGCTACTTGACCTGAATTCTACAGCTTGTAGTGATATTGTAAATGAATAGAATGATTTATGTAAATTGAAATTTCAATGCCTTTGAGATGACATCGTTTATGGGAAGTATCTTAAGTCCTGTCCAAATGCTGTAACGATTAAAACTGTAGTAGCTGAAAGGATGAATTGTAGGTTTTTTTAATATCATAGGTCGACAAACGAGCTGACAGATTACCTGATGGTAAGCAATCAGCGCCACCCATTACTACTAAAAGTGCGTTGCCGGCCTCTTGTGAGTTATTACAAATTTGAGGATAGGGGATTTGAAGATTGAGGATGGGGCTTAATTAGTGGTTGAGATACTCTCTCTTTAATTCTGTGTATTTTTTGTCATTAAGTGACTGACTAACGACCTTACTAAACCAAGTTTTATTATAAGGACGTAGTATGTTACAGAGTACGGCGCGGGCAGTCCTCGTGGGAGCCACCACTCAATATTAATTGAGCCCCGCGGCGCCGCGCCCGGCTATACTTCATTATTTACACCCAACGGCTACGATTTCCAATAGATATCGGGAACATTTCCCACTGCGCCTCACTAGTTTCAAGTTTTCTCTCTTAGAACTCACTTTTTCTTACTTTTTTCTCTTAAATAGTTTCACTGAAGTGTGATATTTTTAATTTCAGTAACTTAAACGTTGAGACGATTTCAGTTCTTATTCTAAAGTTATTTAAATTGATTTTTATCTTTGGAAATTGCATTTCATGACGTAGTTCGAAGAACAGATAAAGGGGCCTTATAATAAAGCCTGTTTGGTGATTAGGCTACAAATGTATGGGCAAGAAGAGAAGAAGGAAAATTTACCAGATCGGTAAATTACTTTTTTTTTTATGTAATGGTCGGCAAACGAGCAGACGGATTACCTGATGGTAAGCAATCAGCGCCGCCCATGGACACTCGCAACGGAGGAGTTACGAGTGCGTTGCCGACCTTTTAGGGATTAGGGATTTGGAGATTTAGGGATTGGGGAAGGGGAAGGATTGGGCCTCCGGTAACCTCACTCACACGGCGAAACACAACGCAGTGATTATTTCACGCCGGTTTTCTGTGAGGCCGTGGTATCACTCCGGTCGAGCCGACCCATTCGTGCCGAAGCATGGCTCTCCCACACTTAAAATTTTACTTTATTTTACAACTTTTAGTCAATTGTAAAGTTAACATTTTTAAATTTTACTTCTTTTGTGAAATGTAGAGATTAGGTAGTAGTTAAGAATGTATGAAATGCGTTACTTGTTCAGTGTCATATAAATAACATGAATAACAGAGAATAATTGTAGAAAAATATTTTATTAACAGCCAACAGACAGCACAGGTGGGTCCCGGGAACGGAGAAGTTTTTAGTCTGAGTCTGACAGTCTCTGATTCTCGTCTAGAGGAAATTCTTCTCAAAGGAAGTCAAGGTCATCAAAACCAGCATAGACAGGATTAAAGCAAGTCTTAAATAGTGCTGACGAACAAATGATGCCTTTTGCTGAATTTCTCGCTAAAATCACGGCTCTACGAATGCAAATAAGAAATAATAAGTTAAGGATTATGGACTCTGATTCTGGTGTTACTATACGTAGTCTTTGAAGTGAGTTGTGCTCGAGAAACTATCGAATAAAAAAAAATATTCTTATTTCAAGTAATTTATAACTAACCGGCAGTCCGGACTCGGCTCGACCGGAATAGTACCAAGTCTTCACAGAATACTGGCGTGAAACCACACTCAACTGTGGAAAACTCGTGTGTTGTCCTGGGTGTCCATGGACGGCGCTGATTACTTAAACCAGGAGGTTTGTGCCCCATGTCAAAAATTAATAGTTAAACAATCTGCAGGCAGGTATTCCAGGCAATATTATTTAGCTTTTGAAACGACAGTTTGTTTTTGAGTCGGTATATACTTTGCAAAGGATATCAAGCATATTACAACAAAGACAAAACCAACATACAACGTAGTATGTTTCTTCCAATGACAATGATTGCAGTACTTTCAATTTTCTTCTTAACACAATTATAGTGACATTTAGAAACCCATCGCGAACCACTAGTAGGTCCCCCACAGAACCAAGAATCTCCCCCCAAAGACAAATAACGAGCATTTTTATTTTCTTATGGAAATTAAACTGGGCCCCCGGTTAATATTGTTTTTGCTTACAAAATGCGTTGCAAAGATACAGCGGCTTATTTGACAGGCGTTTCAGACCGTTTTTATGAGCATTATAGGGTACCCCACTGACCTTTTAAAGGGGCCACGTTTTTGTGGCCTCCCAAAATGTTTTGGGAAATGAATTTATATGAGACTCCGCCATTTTGCATTGATTTCATGGACAATCAAACTGATTATTAAAAAACGTTGACACGATAAAATTGAGAATTTCCTCCTAAGTCGGTTGAAAAGAAATGTACTGTTTGTAGACATTGTCCTTTTTTGTCCTGTACTGGGAGAAAGAGAGAGAAAGAAAGAGAGGTGAAATTGTAATCAATGCTTGAAACTCTTTTATACATACCTAATTACGTATCTGGAAGTTCTTCACATATAAAACAACAACGCAATGTTAATACAATCAGTGAAACCTCTTGTTTTATTTTTTATGCAAATTGAATATATTAAAGTCTTAAGAAATCTTTATTTCTAACAAAGTGGTCCCCTGAGCCGTGGCTCGATTTACTTCGATCGTTTACTTATAATTTTCAGCTTAAAGGAGATTAGTCAACTTTTTCTCGAAGAAGATCGGTTCTAAAACTTTTTCAAGTAGTAGTAGGTATTTAAATAGTACGTTTTCTTTTTCATTATTCTAGGACATAACTAAATATAACTTAAAAAAAAACGCACTTGTATTTTCTAAAACTGGAATTGAGAACGAAAACGAATTATCGAAATAATCATAATATATGGGCCACAAAGTCATCTCCAATAATAATTTACTGTTAAAAATACTAGGTTTTTGAAATCATTTTTTTTTATTTCTATTACACATATGTACACCTTCACAATAATAATGTATCATATCTAGTCAAATAAATTGTGTTTTTTTAATGTCAAAAACTATTTGTTTTTATGTATTTGGTGTGAAATTCATATCGGTATTATTGCGTTAGATACGAGTACAATACTTATATCCCTCAAATTTCTAGGTAGTTACCTACCTAGAAATTTGAGCTTCACTAAGAGGACTGACCGACAGACTGACACTTTGTATCTTTAAAGTTGTGTTGACGTTCAAAAGTGCCTGTATGGGTCTAATTGAAATAAATTATTTTGACTTTGACTTTGACTTTGAGGGAAATAAGTACTTAGACTAAAAATACATGAAATTAATTCGTTCCATGAACGTATTATTATATGTATTTTGATTTATTAGGGATAACAATTTCTTTTTCAATGTAATTCAAAACAAATAAACATAGAAATTAATGCCAAATTAAATAGATTACGTAGTATATAGATTTAATAAATTCTCTTGTTAAATAATGAGTAGAATTGAAGCAAATAATTCGTGCAGGGTTGACACGGTACGTGAGGCGTGCATGTACTTAATGCGCGGTGTGAAGCCACTGATGAGGCGTGTCAAGTGCCTCTAATTAGACGCCAGACAGCCCTACTCTGGTGTCGAGGACCTACAACTGTCTGCGACGACACGTTGAATACCTATACACCTACGTCTAGTCATGTCGTGCGAAATTAAACTCTAATTAATCCACTTTATTGAGTTGAAATTTTTGTAATACCTTATGCATTTTTCTCGTTTTATGATAGGCAATCGATTTCATTTAAAACTTTTGTTCATAATTGTTTTGTTTATAGTTATAACTTATCAAATCTTTAGTCATTCTTAAAAATACGTAAATGGAATTAGGAATTGATTTCCCAAATGTAAATGAACCTTATTACATAAAAATATAAACATATTATGGACAAATAAGAACTATATATAATATATGTTATAGGAGCCTGAGCCACGAGCAGCACTAACTGAATCATATCTTCCGCCGCTGCCGCTTCGATGGCAGGTCGCTGTAAATTGAATGTAAGAAGACGCCAATTTATGTTGCACGCGTCTCTCTTGCCGCCTCTGTGCGCCTGGTAGTCTCTCATATTATGTCATGTACCATACCTTGTTACACTATATACTTTTGGTTGTATATACCTAGGGTAGGTAGACATGTTGGAATAGTATAGAAAATAATATTGGTTCCTCTTCATCATCAAGATGGTTCCATCAAATTCTAACTTTGATTTCTCCAACAATATGCCACTGCTTGATCTTCCATATAATATCCAAAAAATAACTTGGTGCTATGGCTGGGCAACTGGCTGCCATGCAAAGTGTCGCGGGTTCGATTCCCGCACGGAACAACTCTTCGTGTGATCAACAAATTGTTGTTCCGTGTCTGGGTGTGATGTGCATGCGAATTTGTATGTTTGTCAACGCACCCAAGACCCAGGAGAAAATCCTAGTTTGTGGCAACGTTTTTCAAAAGAAAAAAAAAAGACAATAAAAGGTTTGAGGAGAGAGGAAGTGTCTCTTACCGACTAACCCCTTCCTTCCCCCCCCCCCCACCCCTCCCCCCTCCGTTCGTTCCATCTCCTGATCTAGGTTCAGGCCGCGGTGCCTCTTTGCGCTTACCCTGCAACCGTGGCTAATATATCAAGCTGATTTGAAAAAGGGAGAACCCATTACCTAATTGAAATCTTCTTCTACAGGCTACATGTTAAACGAAATAATCGCTTAATGTTCACAGAATGCGCAGAAGAGCTGAAACCTCCCAACCACAATACTATGCATCCTCTAGTCACTATAAAACTGGTGGAAGCTTGGTAAAGTCCAGCAACAAGTTTAGGCTCACCTGAACTAACAACCTGCAACCGTAAAACCAGCCTTAACACAAAGGCATAAAGGCTTTAAAATCCAACTACTTTAATTTCCCATCATATGTTGAAAAAACAACCTTATTTCAATAGCACCAGAATGCATCCCAACTGCATGTGTAACTAAGTTTTGCGTTTAATGGGCTTAGTTGGGAATCGCAGATGCACGCTAGAATTAAGCACGCTATAATATTTTAGAGCTCCTGGTAAAGTTGGTCGTTCCAGGTTTTTATTTAAAATATATGGCTTTTAGTATTTATGGCTTGGAAATGGTAGGATTTATGTTGAAGTTTCTAGCTTTCATAATACGCTCTGCAACCATTCTGTTCAACTCTAAGTTTCAATCGCTAAGCTAATGGATGGAGTCAAAAATATTGGTTCTTAATGTTTTCGTCAGAAAACATTTAGAATCTATTACTTTTTTAAAAAAATCTACAGCTATTGTGAAAATTCCGTAAGGTTAATTTATTTTAATTCCTTCACGAATACGAACTTTCAAAATAAATTGGAAACAAAGAAACGATGGATCACCTGATGGTCATCGAGCAACAACGCTCATAGACAGCCTCAACTCCAAATGAGTGATAAGTGCGGCTTTTTACGACGTAGTAAACTCTTACCTATTAAACTTATCTATTCATATTGGAAAAATAATAGAATATCGCGTTGTCTAACTCACACGCCGAAAAACAACACTGGGGCTATTTCAGGCCGGTTTTCTGTGAGGTCGTGGTATCACTCCGGTCGGACCAACCTATTAGTGTGTATAAAATCCTAATTAATATATACTTATAAAATAAAATCTAAATATATTCGTCAATCCTTTGCATACTATATCGTCATATTTTATACATAGTATGTCTAAACTCTTATATCGTATGTCTATTTAATAATACAGTAATCCACGATTATCTGAGATTAAACCCAGCTCTGACCACTGGAGTGTTCAAGTTATTGCACTTTTAAATTAAATATGGTCGCCGCAAAGCTGCACGCTTTAGCGCAATAACTGACAAACTAAACACGTTTTATAACATTCTTTGAATATGTCGCAGGAGATTAGAGGAAACAAGAGAAAGTCTTGAAATGTGGATTTCTACTTATTTCGTATGTGAGTCAAATGTTACCTGCAATTGTTTTTATAATGGGATAGGGCGGCAAACGAGGTCACCGGATAAGCAATTGACGTCGCCAAATGGACAAGCACAACATTCGTGGCTTTAATATGGGATTTGGGGATAGGAGTGTTTAAGGGGCGAAAAATCATCAAATGGCTTCTCTCGCCGTGGATGGGGCGAGAGCCAAAAACCACCACGATATTCTCTTATTATATCTAGGCCGATGTTCCTATTTATTATTGCGCTTGACTCTCAACCCCGGATAGAGATTGCTGTTGTGCACGTAACCCTATTATACGCGTCCCATAGTAAACTTCCAACCACCAAGATTTAGGCAGGCATTAGCTAAACGAATAAGTACTTTATGTAGAGAAAATGAAATGGCTTGGTCACTCGTACATTTACAAGTTACAAATACAGCCCGTCCGTTACGATTACAGCTCTTACGCAGTTAGATCGCGTCGCTTGATATTAAATACTTTTATTGAGTTCTAAAACAATGGCGTTACAATGGAAAAGAATAAGAATTATTCAATAATTCATTTTGTTTTTACAAAAAAACCATTAAAAGCCGTTGTTTTTCAGTGAGGAGCATTTTCTTAAGCTGTTGCGGACAATAAAAATATGAGAGGGATGGTACGTGACACGAATAAAACGTTTTCGACGAGGCCTTACAAGTCGCGACAGCGGGCTATTAGCTAGACACATACATATGTACATCACATCATTTTATGGCATGTGTACACTTTTTCGCCAACAAACATTTTGTAGTGATACGTTTTATGTAGTCGAAATATTACATTAAGAGTCACACAGCAGTCGCATTCCCAAACCAAAACAGTGTCGTTAAATCACATCTAAGTTTTAAATAAAGTAAAATATAGCCATAAATAAGAAACCACAACAATGATTTCAAATCCTATCAGGAAAAATATAGAAGTCTATCGACCCGCAGTGAGTACTTCCACAATATTCAAATTGAATCGTCTTTCTATAGGCTCTCGGAAATTTTAGAGTTATCTTTATCAGCTCACAAGCACGTGAGTGGTCAGATAAAATATAAAAAGGGTTCAAATATCTGTTTTAATGGCCACAAAAAAGGTCTGTCCATTAGGCACCAGGATTCGCCACGACGACGCGACGTAATATTTCATTTTAAACCAATTCATGTTTCAAAATTATTATGTTGCCAACCGAATTTGTAATTTAACAGTGTATTTATTATGTTGAATTTTAAATATCTGTGGTTTATTCAAATCGCAGCCAATCAAACTTTTAATAGGATGTCTACGTTTTATGTTTAGTAAAGTACTTATTAACTTTGTTTAGGTATTTTCATGTACACGCGTATTGGGGAGATTCCAAGCCATGCTTCGGCACGAACGAGTCTGCTCGACCGGCATGCAACAAGCATAGCGTTGTGTTGTTTTACTCTGTGAATGAGTTTTTTAAATAGTAACTATCTTGACACTTACTAAATCTGTTGAAAATAACAACTTACTCTCGTGAATAAACTGAGAACTAGTTTTTAGTCACAGCGAGACTCTTACTCATGAGCAGCGTGCGCGTGACATTGACATTAGTACAACTTTTCTCAATCTAATCACGTGGGTTTGTCATTATTTTCCATAAAAAAGTGAATGTGGATACCGGAAGCCCAAACTATCCATCCTGACCAGCAGGCAACGCACTCGTAACTCCTTTGACGGTCCGGGTGTATATTAGCGGCGCCGATTGCTAACTATGCAACAATCCATCTGCTGTTACTTCTACTTAACATCCCATTACAAAAATAATCCAGAAATTATTAAAAAGAAGAAGAAATCATATTAGTTTTATAGTCCTCTAGACGTCAACACAAACCTTTTTGTAAGCATTATAAAAGCTAACAATAGTGACGTCATCACAATATCAGGGTTCCTTCGGCGTGACGTGGCCACATTGGCCTTATAATCGTTCGGAAAAAATAAAGAATGTCCCCATAGAGGAGGGCGCTCGGTGTGAAATGACACATTCATGAGCAGCGTGGCGACAACGGAGTGTTTACACTTGTTGTCTTTATAGTGGAATATAGAATTCTATATATTTTACTTTTACCTAACCATTCATATAGAAGACAAGTCATGATTTAATTATTGCACTTTGCACATTTACACAGAAGTAGGTGAATTCTAGTAATGGACACAGCAAAGTAAGTTACTACTGCATAATAAGAGTAAAACACACTACATATTTACTTAATGATAGACTTATTCATATCAATCTGATAGGCATGCTTGAAATTTGAACTGTAATAATAGACGTCCGAATTGAAAACGCATTAATTACTAACACATGTTTTGATTATTTATTTTATTTACTAAAAACTTATGACAAAAGCATACATCGTTAACAACCGTCAGCCAAACAATATCAACCACGTAAAATACAAAAGTACCTTCACAAAAAAATCCTTTCGCTTACAAATTCCAGTAATATTTTAATGTAAAAATATCCGCGTACCAAGTATACCGTCGCCTTAAGCTATCCCTTTTAATGTTCGTCACAGTGGAAGGTCACAAAAAGCGTCCCCCGGCCCTCATCAGACCAAACGATTTCACACCACACTCCAAGTTTCGATACCACACTCCACTGACTAAAATGCCGCCAACAAGAACGTTTTATACACGTTACTCTATAAAACACGTTGATTTTATGCCTACTGCCTGTTCGAGCTTCGGTTATGAATTTTAAAATGTCTTTCCTTTACTTTGATGTATTGAACTTGTGTAACTAAGAACTGTCAGGACATTGTCAAATTAAAAACTTTATCATCATCATCATCATCATCATCAACCCATAAGTTCCCACTGCTGAGTAAATGCCTCTTCTCACACGCAGAAGGTTTGAGCATTAATCACCACGCTTGCTCAATGCGGGTTGGCAATTTCAAACTTATAATTAGAAATTATAAGTCCAGGTTTCCTCACGATGTTTACCTTCACCGTATGTCAGTGGTGTCTAAACAATCATAGAAAGTACATATAACTCGGAAAAAGTCACATTGGTACTTGCCAGGTTTCGAACCCACGCCCCTCATGCATGAGAAGCGGGCTCCTTAACCTCCGGGCCACCATGACGACAACAATTCTAACTTTGCTTGCTTTTAATTCCATTTTGAGTATTGATTTTGATCATGGTGGCCGTTCTGTATAACTACATACCAACTAACTGGCCTCTATACAGAAGATGTTATATTTTAGTTTACAAGTGCGTGTTCTACTCTCTGTTGCCTCACTTTCTAAATCAGATGTAACAGCCTACCGATACAACCGGAGAGAGACCAACGGCTTTACAAACTTACCAAATCTAGCCTGTGGTACACCGATGAACTTCCTGAACCCGAACTATCAATGGTCATTTTATTAAGAAAAATATAAATTGGCACTTTGTGCGTGACGCGAAAATCGCAACCGCTTGCAACGCAGCCCGCCGGCGCCAACCATTCAGTCGTCACCTAACACTACCTACTTATTAACTGTGGCCTGTAATAATATTTAAAGTTTTATATAATACACTATAAGCTGATCATTTACGTTCCTAGTAGCTCAGGTTTTGAACATGTGAGTTATTAGATAACATAAAAACACTAAAATATATGTATGTAATAAAGTTGATCGGTTGAATTAATTGAATTATAAAAAATAAGTTCTTATTTCTTGTTATATAATATTAGGCCAAACATTTATTAGTTATCTAATACATAATTATAACGTGTACGTAGGAACCTATGAGTATGAATCAAATTAACTTTTAATTAAATTCGATGTACATACGTACTATATTAATGTATAAC